CACACACACACAAACAAACACACACACACAAACAAACACACACACACACACAAACAAACACACACAAACAAACAAACACACACACAAACAAACAAACAAACAAACAAACGCCTACAAGAATAATGTAATTATAAACTTTATTACGCAATTAATAAATACAACTGCATAGGTATACAGGTATAGAATGATACAGGTATTTATACATTCTTTTAAATTTTTTTTGGTCAATTTTATAGATCGGCGAATGTCGCGTTGTTACTTGCAAGTTGATACAAAAGGCGGCAGAAGAAGATGTTATCAAGACCTAGGGGCCTCAGTCACCAAAGCCACATGTTGCTGCTCTGAGGGGAAGGCATGGGGTCATCGCTGTGAAGCTTGTCCTGCTCAAGGATCCCCAGAATACAATGTCCTGTGCCCTGAAGGTCAAGGATTTAGACCAAATGCTACCACAGTAAGTTCAATAACAAGTCTGACTTCATGATGATCAATAGAACGTTTTTTGCTTTGTGAGTCATCCATAAATTCCGTAATTACGTAATTAAAGAGGGGATGAGGTGGTTTGAGTCAGTGTTACACTGTTACTAGTAGGTAGGGGTTATTAGTATAGTGTTACATAATATTGATTTATTTTTAATTTGTTGATATCAAGTGAAAAAATTATTTTCTGTCTTATGACAAAACATAAAAATATTAATGACTTAAAAAAAAACATAAATAATTTAAAGTTACTGTGTCATTTGTTACAATAAGTTAAAGTATTTTTTCATAATTTTTTATAGAATCTGTATGATTACAAAGAAAATATTCAAAACTGATATATAACTGATAAACTTATAACTATATTCAAGAATACAATTAAATTGTTGCAGTGGATTGTCTCTCATGTGTCATCCACAACATATGCATGGTTGTTAGAAATTTTCATGTCTGTGCGCCCTTCCTTCACATAGCACTTGTTCCCAATGTTATTGTCACATGTAGTCAGCATCGCCAAATAATTCTGACTTAAATTATCATAAATTCTAAAATAGAACACAAATAAAATTAATACAGATTGTTTATTCTGTGATATAATTTATTTTTATTTCTTGTAAATGGTGGTGTTGGTGGGGGGTCTCAAGATTTCATAATTATTTTGGGAGTGTTCAAGCATGCATTATGGGTGCGTTACTGTGGGGAGAGGGAGTGTTTAAAATATTCCAAATTTGCATTGCGTAATTTATGGATGGCCCCTTGAAGGAACTCTATCCTGTTTCAGAGAAACCGTTTCTGAATCTTTATTCATTGTTCGTCTCTGTGGTTGTGTGCTAGGCATTCAGTGGTGTAACGGTCAGACTGCTCTTCTTTCACTTCTAGACCCCGAATTCAAATGATGGTCTATCGAGGTGGAACGGGTGCTGGGGAAGTGGGTTCACAGGTTTCCCGCGGGTCCCCTGACTCTTTATTCTACTGTTACTTCATTATCATTTGCATCGTATCTTCATAATTACCTCTCCGTAAAAAATTGTTAATTTATTGCAGATACGGTCATAAGGCACTAATATCTCAATTATTATTAGCGGCCTTCGAGATCCTTCTTGCCATCAAAATTTTGTAGAAGCTGCCATATGCCTTTATTCTTCTTTTAATATCCTTTTCTATCTCTTTATTTTCAGTAATAAAGGAACCCAAATACTCTGTGGCATTCATCTTTTTTATATTTTTTCCACATGACACATTTTAATTTATGATGACGTAATTTTCATATCTTTAATTATTTTACTTATTATCATTACATCGTGAGCAAGTACCATTATTTGTACAACTCTATTCATAATGGTTCCTTTTGGGTTAATATCAATATTTCTTATTACTTTTGCCAGGACTATGTTAAATAACTTATAGGTAACTCATTTCTTTGCTTTAATCCAGTGTTATAAATTCCGCTGATATCTGTCCTTGGAATTTAACTACATGTCTAGTTCCTGCAGAGTATTTGTATTAATCTTACTGATTTGAATGGTATACCAAACTCATATAGTACTTTTATTATTTCCTTCCTATTTATATTATCATATGCTTGCTTGTTGAATTAATTACATGTAAAATCACTTGAAATTTTGGTTTGTGAGAAATATCTTGATTTTTTGTACATTTTTTATGTTTTATTTTTTTCCTTTTCCATTTAAAGTTTGCTAAAATATTAGCAACTTTTTAAAAGAATTTTGTATCACATTATCTTGCACATAAAGCTCTGATGTATTTGTAAACGAAGAAATTCAAATTGAGATGGATTTAATCAATCTCCATAAGATCTTGCATTGATTATTGAATTGATATATTCTGTTACTTATCGATATTAGTCACCAATTCACTTTATCATTGCGTAACTTCAATACACAATCGTTGTATTATATAAAATGAATCCATGATTCTCTATGTGATCTTGATGTAGAAGAGTGGTATCCTCCGACAATCAGTCAATCACTCATTATTTATATGTTGTAATGAATATAAATAAAATTCAATTTGCTATCTGATTCTAATTTAGAGATCAAATTGTTGAGATGACTCATACCTTGGGTCTATGCTTTTGTTTTTACAAGACATGTTTTTAGTTGATATCTTTTGAATTGAAATGAAATTTTGCCTACAAATATTCTTGGTCTTTTTGCCAGAGAAAACTTGATGATGTGGCTATATTGAGTCATAAAACGTGTTTTAGTCCAATTTAATGAAAAATAAAAATTTTCTGTTGTAAAGAAAGGGTGTTTGATAGTCTTGAAATATTCTGAGGAAATCACTATCCTACACAATCAATGTCAACCGGATCCATTTCATTCTCCCAAATATACCTTGCTTGGAACACAATCTTCTGGTCCCAACTTAAACTCTTCTGCACACCAAACATTATTCTACAGAATTTTTGTATAAAAGTGCTTTTGAGGTGTTTCTTGTTATGTAGGTGGTTCTTGAAGACATCAATGAATGCGAAGAACTTCAGAATTTGTGTAACAATGGACATTGTATAAACACATTTGGAAGTTTTATGTGTAAATGTAATGATGGATTCAAATTAGATGCAACCAATACTGCTTGTATAGGTAGGTGTTATTCAATAGTTTACTGATAAGAGCATTGAAAGTGAAATGGCAATATTTTCCTTCTTGAAAAAGAAGAAAAAAAAAAAAAAATTAAAAACCATGTCTTATAAATACATAACATAGTAAACATTTTCATTGATGTTCTTGGTGAAATTTTCAGTAGTTTGTAAAACATTGCCATATAAATAACTTCAGATAATCAGTTTTCCTTCTTTATTTCCCTTCATGTTTTGGACTAAGTATGATGCAGATTAGAGATTACCTTCCCAATAACAGTTTTCTCTTTTCTTGTTAAATGGCCATGTTAAAAATACAATGTTTTTTAAATTTGAACTGAAGAATTACAATTGTGTGATTAAAACAAACATTATAACTTGAAAATGTTAATTTTCAGATATAAACGAATGTGAGCAAGATGCAAAATTATGTAGTCCTGGAAGGTGTATCAATGAAGAAGGAAGTTATCATTGTGTATGTCCAGAAGGATACATGTTAATTTCAAATGGAAGTAAGTATCCAAATGAAAATTCCATTAGATAGAAACTGATTTTTAAATATATCCCTGCAGAAAATGTAATAGAGTGACATGTCCTCCTTTTTTCTCATAGATGTAATTGCATGTTCCAGAGGAGTGTGTTGATATGCGCAAAGATCAGTGCTTTCTGGAATGTAGAGATGGAGTATGCACGCATCCAATGTCTCAAAACCAAACTCGCAAAGTATGTTGCTGCTCAATGGGAGCTGCTTGGAGTTCTGCAAGCCAACCTTGCCCTGCTCAAGGAACCGGTATATTTAGTTTATTTCCATTGTCAAAAACAGTTATAAAACAAATTATAAATAAAAGGAAGTACCAAGTGAGTAATATTCTTCTCTTAGTAAAGTATTTCTTGATGTGTTACAGATGACTACAAAAAACTTTGTGGAACTAAAATGCCTGGGCAAGTCGAAAACCCATTAAGCAATAAAATGGAAGACATTGATGAATGTCAGTTAATGCCATTAATGTGCAATCATGGGACATGCATGAATGTTCCTGGAAGTTTCGAGTGTCAATGTAATCGTGGTTATAAGTATGACATAGCTGCACATCAATGCATTGGTAAAATTAAATTTGCATAATAGTTCTTAATAAAATCTGAATACATATCCTCTATATTTTTATGTTCATTAAGTAATTTCATTCCTTCTATTGTACTATACTGAACAAAAAATTCTGTTTTAGATGACAACGAATGCTTTCGTGTTCCCAGTCCATGTCAAGGAAATGCTGAATGTGTTAACACACCTGGTAGCTACCAATGTGTATGTCCTGAGGGATACAAACTTAGTGTCAGTCAAAGGGATTGTATTGGTAGCTATTTTTTATCTATATATTTACTCAAAATAAGATTTAAATTAAACTTCAGTTATTTAGAAAGTACAAGTAATCTTTTGGTATTATAGTGATGGATGAAATATTTATTATTTTTCAGATATAAATGAGTGTGAAGAACGCCCAGGTATATGTGGGAATGGAAATTGCACAAACTATCAAGGCAGTTTCCAGTGTATGTGTCATACTGGCTATATGCTTAATTCGAATCGTGACACGTGCATTGACATTGATGAGTGTCTCTGGCATGCTAAAATTTGCAATAATGGGTCCTGTGTAAACACTGTAGGATCATATAAATGTCACTGTTATCAAGGATTTAAGCTTAGCCCTAATAATGACTGTGTCGGTATGTTAAATATTTTTTGCACTGTTCTCATTGCATTTTTAAAATTTTGACCTTTATTTTAAAGTAAGTGATCATAAATATTTATTTGTTTCATAGACATTGATGAATGTCATATGTTATCACTCTGTCGTAATGGACGCTGTAGGAACGTGATGGGTTCGTTTCATTGTGAATGTGCATCAGGCTATGTTTTAGCTGCTGACGGTCAGAACTGTCGAGATGTAGATGAATGTCATGAGGTAATAATCTTAAATTATATTCTAAATGAATTAGGGGGTCACTGTTAAATATTGGTTTGCTTATGAAAGAGATTGAAAACTAATAATTTTGCAGATCTTTTAATTTTCATCTTTGTATTTATTCCAGGTGCCAGGAACATGCCCATCTCCTGGTAAATGTCAGAATCTGATGGGTTCGTTTGTGTGTACTTGTCCACCTGGATATATTCTTTCATCAAGAAATAACTCTTGTGAAGGTATGAGAAAGAATTAACAAACTTTTTCAAATACTATTTTATTTTTTCATCACAACAACATACATTTTTTTCAAAAAATTTTAGTAATTTAAATAAGTTTTACTAATATTTCTATTAGTTTAATAAACAATATTTCTTCATTTTTACCTTTACTAAGAGCATCAAATAAGATATGAGGTTTGTATGTCATTATTTTGAACATGTAGAATAGATTGTCTTTCAATTTTTAACTAACTTTCAGATATTGATGAATGTGAGGATACTGAAGGATTCTGCCAAGAGGGGGTATGCACAAATACTCTCGGTGGAGCTTCTTGTGAGTGTCCAAATGGCTATAAACTTAGTGAACATGGGATGCAGTGCATTGACATGAGAGAAGAATTATGCTATGACTCATACCAAAGAGGTGACTCAAATTTGTTCTAATTTCTTATGCTCTTATTATTATTATTAATAATATAATTATGCACATATATGTCCTTGGATGTTCTATGGATGTGACCAGCTCACTTCAGTCTTCTAGTTTTAGCACTAACAACATTTGGGCACTTATACAGTACACTTAATTCCTATTTGGTCCTACTCTTCCATATAGATGATCATATATATTATATAAATGTATTCTAATTATAAATGATGTTTATTAATTTTGCACACTTTTATATATGTTGTAGTATTGTGGGATTTTACAGAAAAAATTGTGCTTTATAGGTCGTTGTTCTCTTCCTCGCATGCAACCAATTACTGCGAAACAGTGCTGTTGCTCCATGGGTGCAGCTTGGGGCAGATACTGTGAGCCCTGCCCTCCTCCAGAGTCAGGTGATTTGAATTTACTGTGGCTACCCATACTTTCATTCATTCGTCTCGAGATTCCCTCTGAAATGACTCCTGGCAGTTTTGAGTTCTGATCAATGAAAATGTTGAGCAGCTACTTTTAGTACAATTACTTTAATGAAATGAAAAGTTTGATAGTGATATAAAAGTCAGGATGGAGTTTTATCGAAGTTCTTTTATAACTGGCTTTTTGAAATGATTCTAAATTGACTGAAGCATTAAGATTGACACAAAACACTCAGAATTATTTCTATGAGATAGCTGATTCTCTTCACATTTCAAAAAGGAACTTTCAGTTTGGAAGTATTTCAGCTGAAGAAAGATATTGGCCACTTAATCTCCAAGAACTAGATTGGAGTCCTAATTCTTCAAACCCCAGTGGCATGGTCTGAAAGTGAAAGAATACCTACAAATTTATCAGGCCAACACATGTTAATGCAATCTCTCTTTTCCATTTAAGAATAACTGCAGACATTAAACATTCATGAATAAAACTAGTTTTGATCCTTAATGTGATTTATCTTTTGTTACACAAAACAGAAAATATTAGCTCTGTTCTAATGTTAAATATTAATTGTAATGCTTTTGTACATAGCTGAATTCCAAAGGATGTGTCCTCGAGGCTCTGGAAGATTAGATGATGGTGAAGATTTAAATGAATGTTCATTTATGCCAAATGCTTGTGAAGGAGGTGACTGCATTAATACAGATGGATCATACAGATGTGAATGTCCCTCAGGATATGTTCTTGATGCTTCTGGGAAAAAATGCATTGGTAAGTGATTCTGCTCTACTAAACATTAGAATTTACTTTTAATTGATTCTAAAATCATCTTAATATTTTTCAACATATTAATCACTGTAATTAAGATGGTGGAGAGGAAATTATTATATTTTATATCTACAGAAAGTATTCTTTCAAAGAAATGTAGTCAGTCATCTGTAGTCATTATTTTGAGGTACTCCATACATGCTCCATACATTCTTCTTGTAGTCCTTCGACTGGGCCCAGTGGCGTAATGTTTGTGCCCGCAAAGCTCACAATGCGGGCAGGCCTATGTAAAAGAGGGCCTATTTTCAGGGGAAATTTTTATTATTTATGGTACTAACACTACTTGTGTTTGCTATACACTTTTATAAAGGGGGCCCGGATAAAAGTCTTGTGGGCAGGCCCACACTACCGACTGGACCCATTTCAAAATGGCAATGAGAAATAAGTTGTGATTCGTTTATAACATTTCAGATATTCTTTGCAATTTCTTGCAAAATTGAAACAATAGAAATGAAAACCAATCAAGAGCTTGATGGTTTTGATCTATATACTGTTTGAAAATGACTTTCAAACAATATGAGGAAAATGACAAAGATATACCATTGATAGTAAAATTATGTATGACTATGCATGTAAAACTATTATTCTAACTTGTATGAAAATTATATTTCTATGAGTTGTGTCTACATCTAAACATTTATGTTTGGAATGGACTTGGGTAAAATTGCATTATTATGAAGTAATATTTATTTTTATAAACTATACATTTCTTGTTAAATGAAAATAACAATTTTTCTTTTGATTTTAGACGCAAATGAATGTGTATCAAATGTCAATATATGTGGGAATGGTACTTGTGCCAATGTGGAAGGAGGTTTTGACTGTTCATGTCATGATGGATTTGCTCCTGGACCTCTGCAGGTTTGTTTATTTGATGCATCTAAAATACTGAAGACTTTTATTTAATGAAGATTAGAGGGCGTAAGTGTTAAATATTGGGAGTGGGACTTGAGAGAACTTTAAAAACTAAAGGAAAACATCTGAACAAATATTTATTGTTTCCTTTTCACAAATATTTTAATTGAATTATTTAATTTAAAGAGAGTGAAATGCAATGTTTGACCATTTCAAGAACTCTTTGCTGATTTAGTCTTATTTGTTCTATTACTCATCAGTAATATTATTTTCAACAATTTGTATTTAATAGACCTGCGAAGATGTGAATGAATGTTTGGAAATGGGCAACCAGTGTGCTTTCCGATGTCACAATGTTCCTGGTTCATTCCGTTGTATTTGTCCCTATGGATATACACTTGCCCCAGATGGTCGACACTGTCAAGGTAAAAAGTGGTTATTTAAAAATAAGAAGTAATTATTTTTCTGAGTTACAATGAAAATGTTAAAAATAGAATCTGAATAACTGAAAGAAGACATTAAAACACATTGTTGGGAGCTTATTAGAATTCTTAATCATTACCTACTTTACTTGTATTTACAAATCATAACAAGCCATTGTATTGAAGTTCACAATAATATTATTTTTTACAGATGTGGATGAATGTGTCACCCCTGCTAACAATTGTAAATTTATGTGCAAAAATCTCATTGGAACATTTATGTGCATTTGCCCAGAAGGTTATCAACAAATAGGAATGACAGATGACTGTAGGGACATAAATGAATGTGCTTCTGTCCCAGGCATATGTGAAAATGGTATCTGTGTTAATCTTCAAGGAAGTTATCGGTGTGATTGCAATGAAGGATATGAACCTAGCCATGATCGAAGGCAGTGTATAGGTGTGTGGTATATATTATTTCCTGTTAACCTTAGTGTCTATTTAAGTTGCTCTTGCAAATACTCACTCACAATATGAAATCAAAGAGTTTCATTAAGTAATAATGTTTATTACATTATGTTTCATAATGTATAGCAAGTATGATATTATACAATATTTTTCTGAACAACAAATAAACAATATTTAAAAGTAGTAAACTTATTTCTTAATTAATTGTTAAACTCGTATTAATTGTATTTCAGATCGGAGAGCTGGCTACTGTTTCCGACAATTAGTTGGAGGACGGTGTACAACCCATGTGGATGGACTTATGTCTGTGACAAAAGCAGATTGTTGTTGTACAATGGGACAGGCTTGGGGTCCTAGGTGTGAACGCTGTCCAACTAGTAACTCAGAAGAATACAAACAGCTATGTCTTGAATTAGGATATTCTGTAGATGGTCATGGTAAAATTCTTATTTCATTAGAATTAAGAGATCATTTTCTAATAGAGTATAAATACAATTTTGGCACCACTATATTGTTTTTCAGATATTGATGAATGCCACACTATCCCTGATCTGTGTCGAAATGGACGGTGCATAAATACTTTGGGATCATACCGCTGCATTTGCAATAAAGGCTACAAACCTCATCCTTCAGGAACACGATGTCAAGGTATATGAATTCACCGATCCTATAATTCACAAAAAATGTTGCATTTTAAATTTTAGAAGAAACATATTTGAATGTTTAATAATGCTTAGTACAAAACCAGAATCTTGAAATTTGAATATTTTTTTTTGTAATACAATTTTTTTACCTTTGTTTGATATTTACTCATTATCAACAACAGCATTGAAATATGTGATTATTTTTTCTTTCTATAGAATTTTCTTTCCAATAGTTTATAATGACTTATTTTCTCTTCAGATGTGAATGAGTGCGATGCTGTGACTTCACCTTGCCAGTTTGCATGCCAGAATACTGAAGGCAGTTATGTTTGTTCTTGTCCTGTTGGATACGTGTTAAATGCAGATCACATTTCCTGTCGTGACCTTGACGAATGTGCTACAAGACAACATGTATGCTCTCATGAATGCATTAATACTCAAGGAAGTTATAAATGTTCTTGCCCAAAGGGTTATAATCAGATAGGAGATCAATGCACTGGTAATAATGAATTGTTTACTTTGATAATGTAATATGCCCTGTCTGTTCACTTCAGCTCACATTTATTCCTTTTTTTTCAGATATTGATGAGTGTTCTGACAATGTAGGAGTATGTCCTGTGCCTGGAATGTGTATAAATACTCTTGGCAGTTTCAAATGCATGTGTCCTCGTGGTTACAGGCTTGACCCGACTGGTACATTCTGCATTGATTCAGATGAATGCAGTGATCCTTCAAAATGCCAACATGGCTGCCAGGTACAGCATATGTAAGATAGAGAATGAGACAATTTTCAAATAAAAAATGTTAAGAAATTATTGTACTCTTCAACAAATTGTGTAGTTTGATTAAAAAATTTAATAACAATGAAGTTTTGAACTAAACAGTGTTTTTAACAACCCTACATATTACCACCTTGAAAGGGCGTAATTTCATTTAATGTTTTTATTCATTTCATTTCATTTTGCAGAATATGGTAGGAGGCTACCGTTGTCAATGTCCAGAAGGGTTTGTACAACATTATTATTACAATCAATGTGTTGATGATGATGAGTGTCTTCAAAATCCTTGTGGTACTGGGAATTGTGTAAATACAATGGGCAGTTATAGATGCGGTTGTCCTGACGGTTATCAGTATGACACTGCTCATTTAGTTTGTATTCAGGTAAGAATTTCTAGTAAACTTCATTTTCTTACTTCTGTTCATCAAAATAATTACTTTGGAAGATGTATTAATTAGTTTTCACAACTAATTCAGAAACTCCCATACATTATAGCCATCTCATTGCAGTCATTTAGATCATATGACACTTACTATTGTAAACCAAATGAGGGACTGAAATTTTGTGAATGGGCATTATGGCACATAAATTCAGTGTTCATCTAGCATCTGTTTCATCAGAGGAACTAAGTTTAGTCATTTCAATGCTACAAATTTCCAAAAAATTGAAATTAGATTTAGAAGCTTTTGCAATGCTGACATGGATAGCCAAGGTAGCTTAGGGCATGTACTATCTCAGTGCTACTGTTGGGGGATTTGAGTCCTGCCCTGGGCATGGTTGCCTCTCTTGTATATGTTATTGTGGAGGGCCTCGTATTCTGCCAGCCCTAGATTGAGGAGCCTGCAAGTGTGTTAGGGTCTGTTGTGTGATTAAATATGCATCTCATCGAGATGTAAAGGATAACCAGCCCTAGGGAAAAACTTTTTGCAATGATATTCCTTCTTAAAACTATTTAGCATTGAATTTTCTCAAATATTTTCCTTCCATTCAATCTTCACAGGTAACTTTCATGAACTTTTCTGTCACAAAATTTTGAATGATCTTATATTTTATTTATTGTTAATTATTCTCAATTACTTAGTGAGTCTTTTCAGTTAGGTTACTCTGGCAGGGACGAAAGTTCTTTTCTTCTTTTTGCAACTCATGGAATTCTTTATTATAGAGTGAACATATATGTAAATTTTGTAAACAAAAGTAATTATGACTTAATTTCAGGGTATCAAACATATTTGAAAACTGGATAGTTTTTTCAAATATAAATTATTTTATTATGTTTTGAAATGCTAACTTTTATTGGAAACTCAAAATTTTTGGAATATACTTATAGATTCATTTTTTGTTACAAAAAACTCTTAATTCACTAACCACTCATAATTTAAGTCGATTAGTGTAAGAGATTTGATTGGGACGTCAGAAAAAAAAAGCCTTATTTTCAATTTATGCTACTGAATGTAGTGAAAAATTTTACATGCCATGTCAAGACACTAATAACTCTCATGAAGGAAGTTTTTATGCAAAGTAATGTAACTAATTTCTATAGTTATAAGAAAATGCATATCTTAATGAAAAGATAATATAAGTTATAGTATATCATATTGGAAAAATTAAAATATTTCACAAATATTTTCCTGTAATAGCTTATTTATATCTTCAAGAAAACTCAAAGAACATGATAATAAATAACAACATTGTAAAGTTATTATTCACAAATCATCAATTGATGTATAGTGCAAACATATTGTAATATTTAAAGAAGATTCACAAGAAGATAATAAAATAAGATAAATGTAACTTAAATTAACTTCCCCCCATAGCCCGACACACACAGTTTTTAACTTTTTTTGATGTAAATAAATAAAAGATGATTCTTATTTAAAAATAACTGATACAAATGATGAGAATTAAAATAGTAAAAAAATTTTACAATACCAAAAACGATTCTTATAATTAATTAACAAAAATGTATTTCTTGTTAGGTAAGCACAAGTTGTGCTGGCAGTCCTTGTGCTTTCAGTTGTACATCTGTTGGAGGAACTCTAATGTGTGGTTGTCCAACTGGCTATCAGCGAATAGGGCAGGTAAGCAAATATTTCTTACTTTGTGAAATGATTGGTTTTAAAATCAAATATTTTTTCCAAACTTTAATTTTTTTTAATATTATTTTTAAGGGACATTGTTTGTCTACAATCAATCCTGCAGCTGCTCAAGGCTACAGTACAGAAGACATAGGAAATGTTCCTACCTTCCCTATTGAACCTGACCCATATCAAAATTCACATGATAAAATTATATCAACAGAAGGATGCTTTTCTTGCAAGGTAAATGTTTTTGTATGTGAATCTACAAATATGTTTAATAATTGCTACATATATGTGAATTGGTATATCTTTAGAAAATCTGTTTGAATGAAATGATGAAATTAAATTCAAAAATCAGATAAGCATTGAAATATTTTTGGTGATAAATTAATAATAAACTTAATTTTCCAGCTGAATGGAAAGAGCCGCCATAGACGAATGGTTGGTAGAAACTCTTCAGCTGACCAAAACATTGTTGGTTCTCACTCCAAGTCAAGTAGAGCAAACAAGGTAATATTATGAAACAATTCTTAATTGTTATTATAGGTCTACTTTTGAATTCTACTTAACATGAAACAATGTAATACACATAAGCCACAGAAATGATGGAACATGAGTTGCAAATACTATTAAATAAATTATGCTGGGACCAACAGGCATCGTAGTTGAGGGGAGTTGAAATCTTGGCTTCAATCATTAAAATAATTTTAGCAATTATATTCAACGGATTTAGCATAATAATTACAAAATCATAGGATTCACTTTGTATAGTTGTTAAATACAAATAAACATGCATTGATTGCTCTACAATTATTATAATTCTAATTATTTAAAGAAATAAACAGGTGTCCAGGCTTTCTTACACCAAATTGAAATCCCAGGTTGTGATGACCTTAAACAATGACGTCAGCAAAAATTATGCAATCCAACTAGCTAGATTAAGAGTTACATATTTTTTGCAACTGTTGATAGTATTTAAGGTTTTCACGCAAACTCTCCTAGCTACATTTTGCAAGAGGTAGACACCCGCGTTTATAACGTCATAGTGCTCTTGAAAACTTGAAGAAAAACGTAGTTCGTGGCTCAGAGCGGTCACTCGCCTTTCAGCAAAGAGGTCCGAGTTCGATTCTCGTGTGAAATTTGGTTCAATAAAACGAGTCCGCGGGGTTCGCAGGAGCTAGTCTAACCCCCGTCCTAATTCCTTCCCAATTGTGGCCGCTGGGTACTGACGCAGCGCGCATAAGGCCGGCTTCCCACGGTGCGACCGCAGCGCGCTTGCTTCAAGGAGCAGAGCTCTTCCGACGCAGCCACCGCCGGAGCCACGGCCGCACCGCCGCCCGCCGTGGAAGGGGGTGGGGTCTGGAGGGGTAGGTTTCGCCGACCCTCCGGCCACGACGAACAAAGGGACCGGAGCAGGTAGAACGCTGCGGCCGCCGCGCAGTGGGAACGCTCCCATTTAAAGCTGTGTTCTGCTAGCGGTGGCGCGTGCCCCCTCCTCCGCTTCGCGTAGCTGGAGTTCGGTGTCGGCTGCCGCAGCAGCCGCCACCCGCTGCACGTGGGAAGGCCTCCATTCAAACCAATGCTCTGCTACGCGCCGCGCTGCGGCCGCGCCGTGTGAAGGGGCCCTAAGAGAGGCGCTTGGAACGTGGCCTCGGTCTTGTTGCCTTGGCTTGTTAACGTTGTCATAGACGCGAGTGTGAACGATGTCGCTGAAATAGTGACAGAATGTTAAAAAGAAAAGTGGAAACCGAATCTTGTTTGTGGCCGGCTGCGCGGCGTGGAAGTGTTTGTCTTTTCTTCTGCTGCCGTGTCGTGTCTCGGGGTCTGGCGATGCCGATCTAGCGATACGCATCTGTCGCTTGCACAGTGGCACAGTCGCAAAAACGGAGCCCCACGAAATTTATGAAAAACAGTGTTACGATGGACTCATCATACATTTTATGGGGCATATTTTAGTGGATATTTTCATGGTTTTTACTTCAAAAATACATTTTTCATAGCTCAATAGAATATATGAATCCAGTCGATACTGATGTCTGTTGACTCATATCATAACTAGTACTAGTACAAGAAGATAATCAATGTCAGACCACAAACGCGGTCAATTTGCTTTGGAAAAAATGAAAGTATTTAAGACACGAATGGTAATAAATATTTTGTTTCTAGATGCAAGGATTACTTCGAAGTCTACCCGGAACTAGGCGAGTTCGTCATCATCATGATCGAAAGCAGCTAATATTGGAAGTGAGATTAAATCAGACTCAACACAGAGTTCATATTTTGAAGTTGCAACCGGCAATCCGGGTGAGTGATGTACAATTTCATGTTATGTAATTATACTAATGTACAAATGCTAATAGAATGAATGCTTGAAGCCCAGAAATGCCCTTTGCAGGAGCGTAACGTTGGGGCCCGGAACGCGGGCGGGCCCTGGCCAAAGAAGGAATACTGTTGGGTTAAGGTTTTTCGATTGTAAGAAATATTAATTACTTCTTCTGATACTTTCTCTGACACTTTGCAATAGTTTATACAATAAAAGATTAACTAGTGGTGCAACAGAAAGGCACAGATGTTCCCATATTCGTTTTCTATTTCCTTTGGTTTCGGCTAGCTACTCGGACTTATCACCTACTCTTGCCAGCTACCATCTATCGCCGCCCAAAGTACATTTTTGTACACTTTCTTTTCTTTTTTTAGTTTCCTAATAGTAGAACGGAAATATTATTTTAAGAATATACCAGTAAAATCTCGTCCTAAATGGCAATTTTCTTTGGAAATTTGGAGTCGCTTCAAGATTATTCAAGAATAGTAAAACCTCGTCGTATAAGGAAATATTTTATGACACATTTTGGAGCCGTTTTTAAGAAAATGAAGTTTAAGCGTTACTGTAAATGCATAATTTGAAGCTCTTTTTCATAGATAATTTTTGTATTTTAAAAAACTTCATTGAAAGTCATTTAAAGCAACTTAACTCAAAAATACAGTAGTGTTTACAAATTGCTGGAAATGTACGTATTAATGGTGTGAGAGATATTTCAAAAAAAAAAAAAAAAAAAAAAATCCCAAAATCAACTTAATGTCATATTAAACAGTGCATTTAGCACTGTTTGTACAAAAAGTTTGGAGCTTTTCGAAAACTGAAAAGATATCTGTGACAAAGAGCTTTAAATTTCGCATTTTCAATACTAACACTTAAACGCCATTATCTTAAAAACTGCTTCAAAATTTCTCATAAAATATTTCTTTTTATGACGAGGCTTTACTCCTCTTTAATAATCTTGAAGTAATATTTCGGTTCTACCGTAGGGAATCGAAAAATTGAGGGGGAAAAATGTAAGGGATGGGACAAGAATGTAAGTTTGCCAAGACCAACGAAATTAGAAAACTAGCACGAGAAAGTCTGTACCATTCTGTTGCACCACTAGTTATTTTCTCGTATACGCACGTATATGCTGAGTAGCATACGTAGTATGGAGTATGTTATGTAATGCTGTGGAAACTCGGTGCCGAGATTTCAACGGTAATACATGTTTTGGGGTCCTCTTATTCCGAACTTTTTTTTAACGTCCGTCAGTCTGCCTTTCCGTCTGTCTAGTGTATGTGAACACTAGCACCTAAACTATGGGTATGACTTTTTTCAAACTGAATTAACTCCCTGTCGATTCGGCCTGGGTCGAATCTGTGATTTTGAAAAAAACATTTATTAATTTTTTGGGCTCTCGGGAAGCTCTCGGGACATTTTCAAAAACTTCTCAAAAATGGCTCAACATTTTTTCTTTAAGTTTCTTGTAAGAAGAGAGTGAAATACATTTATAAAAATGGCATAGGTTCGATTTTCAGTAATAACTGTGAATTTTTGAAAATTGCATGAGATTGAAATTTATTCGGTGTCTTCTTACAATTACAAAATTGAAGATAGAGATTGTTGTTTCCAGTAAACGTTTTTCCATAATTAGTTTTATCGTTTAGGTCACGTACATTTTTTTAAATTGTTATAATTTTCGGACAATATTGCGTCCAATATGTGCAATATTTAAAAAAATATCAAAACTATTTGTCCAAAAGCGACCCCAGATTTTTTTCTTTTAACTTTTGCGATGGATAGTGTTAAATGTACTCTTATAAGATGACATAAACGCTATTTTTTCTATTATTTTATTGTTGTTTTTCAGAAATTACTCTAATCTATTTTTTTACTTGTCTCACGTCGTTAATATTTACATTAGAGGATATTTGTTCATATTATTGCATTTATGAGCACATGTGCTATAAATGATGTCATAAAGTTTCTCGGAAACTTAGCAGTTTTCCGCATTTTCAGAAACACTCTCACACCATATTTTCGAAAACGCGCGTTAATATGCACATTTCCGGCGATTTGTATACATAATTGCATTTGTGAGTGGCAGTGCTTCAAACGACTTCCAATAAAGTTTTTCGAAATCTCAATTGTTTTCTGTAAAAAATAGATTCAAATTTCGCAATTTCAATTACACTTTAACGCCATTTTGTAAAAAGACACCAAATGTTTCATCGAAAATTTCCATAGAGGACGAGGTTTTACTCTTCAATAATATTCTTCAAGTAATTTTTCGGGTCTGACATTAGGAAAGCGAAAAGTTGACCAAATGTGAAAAACGGCGGCGATAGATGGCAGCTGCTAAGCGGATGGACCATGACCGAAAAGGTAGCCCCGACAAAAAACTGTAGCACCGCTAGTTCCTTTTAGTTTTCGGTCCAGAACCTTACGTGGCATCTAAAAAATATAGTACGAACACAATTGAAGTGTTTGTAATACGAGCCCGTTAAAGTTTGGTGCCCTTATACTCACTATAGTTCGGGGCTCATTTTACAACCATCGCCATATTCAAATTGTGTAAAGTAAAAACGGTCTTTGATAGTTCGAAATTACAGATTGCAGGCATAAAACAATGTTTAAAATATATTGCATTTCATTTGTTAAGAATTACCAAAGACACCTTCCAAAGCTTTTTGAACAGACAAAACACGAACACATCTGTTTCACATCAGCTGTCATTTACTACTGAGCCACAGAGCTTTGACGGCAAATAGTTATTAAACTAGTTGTTAAAATCGTTCCTGCTAAAATGTTTGTGATGTGTGAAAAGATTCCAAGAGGGCTCATATTATATAAATGGCTCAAATCACCACCTTTGTCTCTACTTGTATCTATAATAACCGGGAAATACTCTTTCTTTTAGAGTTAAAATTTGAGTAATATGACTCATGATTTTAGACACGAAACTGTTTAATTTCTATGTAAATAACGTTTAAGAGCAAAATATAATTGAAAGAGGATTTATTAACAGGGGATATTCACAATAACGCAGAACATGATCCCGCGCGTTTTATAATACTGAACTAAAGTTCACCAATTTAATAATGTATATTAGCTCAGCTTAATAAAGTTATTGTTCGTTTAATTGTTATTATATTTCTTATCAAAATACAGAAACAAGTATATATTTTATATCTACATTTGAAGAACCGCGAACTGAAATGTCTCAACATTTTTTTAAAAAGTGGTCTCAAGATTGGGAGAGGGGAACAGGTGCCCCCCCTTGAATTCCGCCTCTGCTCATAATAATTAATGAAATATATTAGGAACATTCTGGTTCACTCTCATTACAGACAGAATGATGTATTCAAAAGGTTCATAGGCATTAAGAATCAGTAAACCATTACGTGTTTGTTACGTGTTTTTAGGTCTGTAAACTCACATAAATTAACTAGTAAACCATAAAAAAATAGAATACCACAGTTGTCATAACTTGTATGAGTTCTTACATGTGCTAAATTTGACATTATCAATACATACTATACATACATTCTTTGATAACAAGGACTGAACAATGTTGATAAATATTAAGATAATAATACAACTACGATTCAGTTGAAATTTTACACAATCCTCTGTTGTATTATGAGAAATATGTAATTCAAATATCAGCTTGTGCGCAATTAGCAAATTACATTAAATCGCACTTCATATCTTCAGTGTCATACACATTCAAATATAATGAGGTTCAGTTAAGTGATTTTACGTAAAATTCAGCAACGGAAGATGGCGAAAATAGGAAGTGATGATTTTCTCGGAGGGCAGCATGAAGCGATCTATCATGCCGCATTATTCAGAATTATAAATAATGAATTGTAACAGCAGATATTGCTGTGCTCACAAGGAAAATAGTTTATGAAGCGACCAATTTTATTTTTCTGAAAATTTCGTCGTGTCAAAAAAGCAATTGTCGTTCCTTCTTCGGGTACCGAAGAAATGGAAAGTGTCATCGCCGCCGATGTGCTTTGGCGAGCGGGCATCTGTGTCGTAGTAGCGGGACTCACAGGGAAGGATTCAGTAACATGTTGTGGAGTGATGATTATCTCAGATAAGAGTTTTTACGAGGCGGCCCAAAATGGACCATATGATGTAATTATTTTACCAGGTGATCTTAAAGGCGCAAAAAATATGTGTGCGTCGGATGAGCTTGGAGCATTTTTGAAAGAACAAGAATAGAGTGGCAATATTATTGCTGCCATTTGCGACGCTCCCAACTGCACTGAAAGCAAATGGAATTGCGGTGGGAAAAACGTTTTCGCATCCAACTTTTAAAGGTGAAATGCAGAAGGGAAGAAGAAATTTATATACATACGTAGAAAAACGAGTATTTGTGGATGGTAATCTTATTACAAGCAGGAGCCCTGGAACTACCTTTGTCTTTGCTCTCACAATTATTGAAAAACTACGTGACAAAAAAGTGGGGGAAGATATTGCTAAACCAATGCTTATGTGTTGCTAGAAGAGGAATATTTAAAATTTTATTTTTAATGTGTTTTTAAAGCTTTTTTTTTCATTCTCGGTATACTATTGAAAAAGAAGACCTTTTTTCAGAGCATTATTTTTGCTTGTCAGATGAGAATCTTCATATTTTCATTAATCAGATGTAACTTTGTGAAAAATATTATAGATCAATATTATATTCTAATAACAACCAACTTTAAATAGATTTTAGTAATAGAAGAAAGGTAAGAAATGTGACATTTTAAATTGTGTAAAACTGACATTTTTTCAGTTTAATAGTTTGGAATGAAAACACTTTTTTTGACTTGAGATATCTTTAAAATTGGTCCAAGGGAGAGGTTGGGGTCATTTGGTAAAACAGCATGTAATGAAAAAGTTTTATACTATTACCACATGGTCTAACTGTGCTAAAAGATAGCAACTGTACAATCTTTTTCACTTTCATTTTGTAGATAAAAGAAGCCATTAATTCATTTTGCATGAGTCACATGAATATGTGGGGCCATTGACACTATGCTTTATTTTGTTGTCTTAGAATTTTAAATTATATAGTAATTGGTTTGATAAAATTTGTTATTGAACATGCATGGTTCATTGTTTCAGGGTGACTTTGAATATGTAATTACACATGGAAATAAAGGCCATGTTTTTGAGATGATGAAAAGACATGGTGTATGGGCTATACATTTCAGAAGACGCATAAAACGTCCAAATGTATTTAATCTCAAAATAGAAGGTGTACCAACAAAAGATGTAATAAATGAGACATGGGAGAAACCTCTCTCATTTCACATACAGATAATTGTGGTTTCATAAAATTGTAAAATTAAAAGTACCTATAATGAAATTACATACTTTTAGTAAAATAATTCACAAGGGGTAAAACCATGCTGATCTTTTATATGGCATATTTAAATTTAAAAAAAAATATGGGTTTTCATATCGAAGTTTTCAGAAAATAATTTTTTTCATTTAGATTTGTCATTCTGCAGGTATAAGTTGTGACTGAACATGGAATATAGTATTATTCACTTTGTGCATTCCATAGTTTCCATTCAAAAGAATGGGTAGTATTGACAAAAATCAAAATTTGCATTATAAGACTTTTTGAATTGTAGAGATGTTTACTATTATTAGGTCAAAATTAATTCTACTGATTAAATATTTCACAGTTTTGTGTTATTCAGCATTACATTTTAAGCTTTGTGCAATATATACATTTAGTTTTGTTTGAAAATTCAGTTAAAAAACTTAAGAACAAAAGATTCAATTATATTTTTCATTTCTCTTATTTATTGATTTTGCCTCACTTCCATAATATTGATTAGTAAGTTGTCATGTTTTTCATACTAAATTCCAGATCTATTAAAATATTCTAATAAGTGTATGCTTGTACATATTTTACTTGACACTTGTAGATTTTCATTATGATAGTTACGCTTATGCGATACCAATATTTTTATATAACTATCTTTCTTTAAGACTCATGTTTTAATTGTGTGTCTGTTTTATGTGTATGTGTTTATTTTCAGCCCTCTTAGACTTATTTATTTGTACATAAATAGACATGAGAACACAGATTACAATAAAATAATAATTTTACTCATGAAGGGGTTGAGAAAAAGATATTATAATGAAATTATAAGATAGAAGATAAAAGACAGTTTTTAAAAAACTTTTCAACATTTCATTATTACCTTGAACAAATATTAGAATTTCAAATGTATATCTCTGATTGCAGAAAGTACTTTTATGAAAAATAAAAAATTAAATCAATAATATTTCTTAAAATATTAAAGAAAAGTGTTCAATGGGCTGTGATAGAAAGGGCATTTGTCTATCCAATAGTCTTGGACGATATTGAAATATTTTCAAAAAATAATATTGTCTTGTATATAATTAAAAGACGAGTGCTGTGAACAAAAGTTTGAATTATCCAGAGCATTTATGTTTTAAAGTCAGCATTTAACTGCCAAATGTGTGTTGTTTTGCATTATTTCTAAGCATTTTTGAATTCATAAGTGAGAGAAAAAAGAAATTTTGCAGATGCCTACTGACAATACACAGTTAGTCTGGTTAGTCAAAGACCAAGAGGCTGAAACAGCCAACTTATTACTTAAGTTGAATGTTTTTTTTTTTTTTTTTTTGTATTTTTTCCTTTCGTTTATCAATGTTTTACTTGTTACATATTCACATGACAGAATTCAGTTTTCAGCTAAGATGATGGAATAATGAATTTTGTCAGTTTGGCAGCTGTGAAAGAAATTATTATTGGAGCGAAGGCTTGTAGTAGATAGAGAAGAAATAGATGTTTTAACATATTAAATAACTTTAGAATAATTTATAAGTTTTTGTAATAATGCTTATTTTTTTTAAGGAAAATGAATCTCAAATACTGAAATACTTATTGAAATGTTTAATAGGAAGTAGTACTTTTAAAATGTATTGTAAATACATAATAAGATAATTGTAAAAAGTAATTTGTGCATGATACATGCATGGTATACCGTCCTAATATCATAACTCTACACACACAACTTATTGAGGAACTTTAGTGCTTACGAGAACTTTCAATAAGTATTTTCCATTTTGGTATACTAAATACTGATGCAACTATTTCATGAATTGATACTGGGTGTGTTCTTTCCAATTTTGTTTGTGATACTCTTTAAAATGCCATCTTTTTAGGTAAATGGGTGGTGGAAATTTATTCAACGACAATGGTGTGGTTGTTTAGATGAAGCTGAATGTTTTATGTGTTACGAAATAGAAGAATTATTGTATTTGACACGAGAATGATTCCGTGTGCTCTAAATTAGATGTTCTATGTATCACTGCCTTCATTTTTTACTGCTGTTTTATGTGATTTAATTAACTGTGGTGAAATCCATGTTTGTAGTGAATATTATTGTTTTGTATCATAGAAGTGTGTATACTATTGAAATAAAATAAATTAAAAGAATTTTGAGTGTAATGTATTTCTATTTCCTTTCAGTTTCTCATTACTAAATTTGTTTATTCGGGTTATTTTTCTTAACAAAAAGGTATATATTTTTTGTGATCTATAATTTTAATAAATTGTACATTAACACCTTTGATAATTTCACCAAATAATACATTGCTTTATTCAGAAATTCAGTTTCATTTCCTCACCTACCATGTACTTACATAGTAAAGAAATTTTTTTTGTAATGTGACAGTGAACAGAAGTAGTTTTCCAAGAGAAAACCTCAAATGCAAAACTTGCTACTGAGAAAGTGGATGATTCATGGTTCTGGATTCTATGTAGTAAATTAATTCCTCCAACACATTGTGAGATATTTAGTGTTGGTATTTTTTCTCTTTTATTTTTATATAATTTTTGTTCGGGTATAGAGGTCTAAATATTCCAGTAATGAAGCAGGATTGTCCTGGAAACGACTTGGCAAACAAAAACAGAATATGACTATTATCTGTATGTAGAATGTACAGGATCTCAACATGAAAGGAATGTCTTCAAAGAAATTAAAAACATTAGAAACAGGAAATGCAACAGGGAGTAGAACAAATAAAAAACGATAACAAGTGTAACATTAAGAGCTGGTCATATGTGAATGAGAATATTTAAAAAAAAAGTGTTTTCAAGTTAAAGGTATTGAGATGGCAACAAAGGTATATCTGCTCCAAAGCATGATGCTACTGAATTGGGGAAAGACAGGTTTCTTAATCAGCTGAAGACGTTCTTGGATGGGATATCAAACCGGAAGGATATATTTTTAGTGGGAGATTTTAACATTAGAGTTAGAAGGCTTGCACAAGATGTAAGTTGTAGGAAGGTACAGAGAGGAAGTGATGGAAATGGGGAACAACTCAGACAGTACAGTTTAAAAGTATGAAATGGGTTTTTCAGATATAAAGATATCCACAAATTCATTTGGCTTAGAGGAACTAGTAAAATCGTAATAGATTAAATTATCGGCAAACACAACAAAATAAAGGAGAAAGACATTCGAGTCTATAGAGTATCTGAGTGCAACTCAGACCATTATTTGTTGAAATTGAGATTGTATTTTCCTTATGTAAAAAAAGACACAACAATCAGAAATTCATGTCACATACAATAGCCAAAAAAAAAAAAAAAAAAAAAAGCGTTTGCTTGAAGATCCATCTATAACCCTCTTTTACAAACTCAGGTTAAGTAAGAAACTGTTAAAAGTGAATCAACCAACTGCGCAAACACTCTACAATTGAATTGTGGTTGCTGTCCGTCAAGCAGCTTTTAAGAGCTTCGGAGAAATACAATATATTGGGGACAAAGGAATAGGTGACTCATGGTGAAACAATTCTTTGCAGGAAAAAATGAAAGAAAAGAAAATCACTTATAGTACCTGGTTAAGCTACCATGATATTAAAGGCAGAAAATGATACCATTAAATTAGTAGAGAAGTTAATCAAGAAGTGAGAAAAGCAAAAAATGAAACATGGGAAAGAGTATGTGGAGATGTAGATGAGAGTATAGGCAATGCTGGATTAAAGAACACTTGGAAAATAAAAAAGAACCTCAGACAAAATGAAAAACAAAATGAAGCACTATAGCCTACAAGAATAGATAAATTCAAAACATATTTACGAAAAACTTTTGAAAGAAAATAGCCTTGCATTTAGTAACTCACTAGGTATGGAGTTAGAACAACTGGATAATATGGAATATCTTTCAGTGAGAAAGACTGAAAATACAATATAAATATTTAAAAATGGAAGAGCAGCTGGTCCAGGATTGGTAAGCATAGAATTGGAGGAGCAGGGCCCCAGTTTATTATTGAATCTTCTTACTCAACTATACAATTAATGTTTAATGAAAAAGAATTACAAAAAAAAAAAAAAATTAAATAAAAAAAACTTCAGAAAAGGATATATCTCAAACATCAACAAGATGGGTGATAGGAAAACTAGTGTAAACTATAGAGGTCAGTGTCAGAGATAGGCAATTTTGCACCTGGGGCAATGCTGAAATGTAACCCCCCCCCCAGCAAAAATGTGGAAGTTTTATCAAGAAACAATACGAGTTATTTTATTTAAAAAAATAATCAACATTTCTAGTAAATAAAGCGGCACTGTATAGCTCCGACTTTGTTTAAAATATATTTGAGTGAAACCCTTAGAACAGGGGTGTCCTACTTGCAAAGTCTCAAGGCCACAACTAAAACATCAAATGTAGTTGCAGGCCATAGTTTCGTTACTCGAGCGATCCACACCTGACTTCGAATTGTTCATCTTGGTACTTCCCGAAGCCCAGCTGCTCTGACATCGGGCGAGGGATAGAACCGGTTGGAACCATGCGTGATAACAGATGCTTTTGCATTTCTGAATTTACTAGCAAAAATCCTTAAATCTTAACTTGACCTATTTTTACATTAAACGGGGTGTTGACTCTGGCAAGGCGCTTGCGCTAGGCACACAAATGTTCTTGCTCGACATGGATGAAAGGAACTTAAACGCTAGCCACAAAGAATGGTACCGTCGGCCGCCTGTTGAACAGCCTGACTTAGGAGAAGGAAGAAAAGTAGAAATATGTAGGTATTAAAATTGGTGACTGATATTCTCTCTTCAGATAGTGGTGTGCTTATATTGTGGCAGTTTGATGTTGTTGATGTGTTCCTTGATTCTAATATTGAGTGTTCTTTTCTTTGTGCCTATATACGCTTCGTATTTCGATTTACACCATTTCTGCCCACAATTAATCTAGTACACTATGTTATGTATATCCTTCCTAGGTATGGAGTCTTTTTTCTTTGCAATGAACTGGTTTATTTTATTATTAATTTTATCTTATTTTCTATCAATCCCGTTGTTCCAACAATTTTTTTAAAATTTCATTAGCTGTTTTTTTTTCAGAGTAAGGTAAGGTTACATTAGGGGGGTGTTGTTATCCTTATCCTTGTCAGTGAATTTTTTTGTTTTTAATAAGTCTTGTCTGATTTTGTTCATTCTGGAAGATTGATAAAATGAAGATTGTTTCTACACTCATTTTCCAAGTCTTTCTTGACTAGTTCTGAAATTAATGAGAAAAAGGAGAATCCATAGGAGAATCACACATATTTGTTTATAATCCTTATGATTGAAGCAAAAACTATTATTGTTTGGTATGAACCTAATAGTTCATGTGTGAAATGGAAATAGCTATGAATCTAGTGTCGAAAATCCTGCCACCGTCAGGACTCAAACCCTGTCACTTTCTGGTGAGAGATACTTCAGTGACACCAGTTGATGCTCTGAGCCACCCTGGATGGTTTGTTTGAAGACAATTATTCATTTTGTCAAGTGTCATTAAATATATTTCCTTTGAAGTATGAATTCTGAACAATGATGATTTTTTCACTGGAATAATATTGTGGAAATGCAAGAAAGGACACATTAGAAAATTCCTTTCAATTTGAAATGGAAAAAGTGGTTTCAATGTTCTAGCATAAAAACGAAATTCATTCGCACTAATGCTACAAAATATTTCCCAACTAATTGCATGCACTGCCAATATGTGTGCTGCCAATGTGTGTGTGCGTGTGTGTGTGTGTGTGTGTGTGTGTGGGTGTATATATGTGCCATAGATGTACACAGGTCTGTGTATGTTTATATATTGAGTGTATATGCTCGAAAGAAGTGTATTGTAAATTGTTTTTATATGGTAAATTGTTTTTGAATTATAAATGTTCATATATTGTAAAACTGTAGGGTTGTGGCTACCACCTGGCAATCAGCCAATTGTAGCCAAATAAATATTATTATAATATTTTCCCATAATGGGAACTCTCCTTCAAATACGACGGGCAAAGATTTTATCATTTTAAATGATGATTTAGATGAAATCCAATTTTATCGACATATTTGTTTTTATTGTACTAGGTTAGAGACTGTTCGGACTGCATGTAACATGCGTACTTAAACAGTGAGGAAAGAGGACACAGGTTTGAGATTGTATGAAAGGCAAGGAAAAAGATTACGCACGAAGGTTGTTACCGAATTCTTACGTATTCATTACACTAATGACATGTTTTCACATCCAATAGTATCTTGAATGTATACTGATTACGAAAATACTGAATTTGAATAATTTAAATACATGTACACAGAGGCGTATCTACGGCAAGGCAGATACGGCAGGTGCCACGGGCGCCACTCGCAGGGGCTCTGTTTAGTCTACCCGATGAAACGAGTAACAAATCCGATGCTTGCCATGGGCGCCTGAATACCTAGACACGCATCTGTTCCTATTCTTGACCAGTCGTTCAGATATTTAGTGGACGTTACAGCCTTAAGAAATACGCCCCATGTGAACGAAACGTTCTCGTTTGAACCTTTCCACGAATTAAATTTGAAGAGGGAAAGACATGATGGTGATAGGATAATATGTCCGCTAAAATGTTGTTTCACGACTAAAATTATTTAAATCGTTCAATAAAGAAATATGAGGGTTGGACAGAATTGATTAACCTATAATGCCATACAGGTCAAAAATTATTATAGAAAGAGAAGGCAATTCCTACGTGGATACCTCTCCATTACTCACAAATGCTTAGGTATGTGAAACATTATGCAGACAATGATTCGATGTACAACTTTTCCCATAAAGTTACTCATGCAAGCGACATTTTGGATACAAATCCCAACTCATTTGTCAGAACCAGTAAATAATGTTCGTTTAGAGAAGACTGGCCAAAATGAAATGTGTGTTTTATTTTGCTTCTTTCATGAGATACTGCTCGCCTTGAGAGAACCATTGGTTATTTTATGCCTTCTTTGACTCGTCACATCTTCGTCTCACCCTTTCCCCCTTAAAAGCACGTATCCTGCATTTGGCATTGGGAACTCTAAGACTTCGTCTCGTGGCAAGACATGCCGTCCCCCCCCCCTTCGCTCTCGCAACGTGCGCACAGTGTGCTCAGCTGCTAAGCTTTACGATAGTATCAAATTTCTACTCAATTGCAAGTCGCCAATCGG